TCATTTCTTCTTTAAATTTTAGGAGAATTAATCAGTGAAAACATCTGTACCCTGTAGATTTTATTTTTCAGAAGAATTTTAACTAGAAATTCCATTTGTTAATAGTTACAGAACTATTTAGGTTATCTATTTTATCTTGAGAGTTCTGGTAGTTTGGGCTTTTCAAGGAATTGGTATAGTTCTTCTCAGTTGTTGAATTTATGTGCATAGAGTTATTTGTAGTATTCCCTGATGCTTGTTTTTTTATTGAGTTGTTTGTAGTATTCCCTGATGCTTGTTTTTTTATTGTGATATGTAGGATCTATAGCAGTATCTTCTCTTTCATTCTTGATATTAATAATACTAGTCTTTCTCTCTCTCTTTCTCTCTCTCCCCCGCCCCTTTGTCTCCTCCTCCTCATCCTCCTCTCTCCCCCACCCCACTTCATCTTATTAAAGGCCCATCAGTTTCATCAATTTTAATGATCTTTGCAAATAACCAACTTTTGGGTTCTTTGTTTCTCCTTTACTATTTTTCTGTTTTCAATTTCATTGATTCTGCTCTTCATTGCTTCCTTTGTTCCTATTGCTGCCATTAAGAGATTGCTTGGGGGCTGGGGTATGAGGGAACTGAGAAAATACAAAAGTAATAATGGATTTTTGCACTCTTTCCGAGAGTTAGAATCTCCCACTCCTTTAACCAGCTTCTCCTGGAGTTCTCTCTGCTCCCTGGTGCCCACTTCTGGCTTTCAGGCCACGTTGTGTTCAAAATGGGAGACCTCAGAGAGGAAAAATAATAAATTCACCATAAGTTCAGTGATACTCCAAATTCTGGCCTTTTTCCTCAATTTGTTTTCTACTATTTAATTTTTGTGTTCCTTATACACTCTGTCCAGGTTCTATAGTTTCCTCAGAGCAACTAGGTGGAGTGTGTTTCTTTCATCTGACCCCAAACTGACCCCATATTCTTTGAGCCAATTCAAAGAAGGACATAGGACCTGATATATGGAATCATCTTATCTTCCACCATCACTATCATTGTATCTCCATGAGCTTATCTTCCACCACCACTCCATCTCCATGAGTTCCATAGAGATCTCCTGCAGTGAGATTAAGATGACTTGAAAGTACTGTGGCACTATTCACAATAGCAAAGAATTGGAATCAACCCAAATGTCCATCAGTGACAGACTGGATTAAGAAAATGTGGCACATATACACCATGGAATACTATGCAGCCATAGAAAATGATGAGTTTGTGTCCTTTGTAGGGACATGGATGCAGCTGGAAACCATCATTCTTAGCAAACTATCCCAAGAACAGAAAACCAAACACCGCATGTTCTCACTCATAGGTAGGAATTGAACAAAGAGATCACTTGGACTCAGGAAGGGGAACATCACACACTGGGACCTATTGTGGTGTGGGAGGAGGGTGGAGGGATGGCATTGGGAGTTATACCTGATGTAAATGACGAGTTGATGGGTGCTGACGAGTTGATGGGTGCAGCACACCAACATGGCACAAGTATACATATGTAACAAACCTGCACATTGTGCACATGTACCCTAGAATTTAAAGTATAATTTAAAAAATGAAAAATAAAAAAATAAAACAACAAAGATTGGCACCCCCATGACTAGACAGATCCTAGAGAGCTTAAAAGCATTTTTTCCCTTTAGAAATCAATTCCTACTACATAAGAATGGGTAGTTTGCCCCAAAGGGGATATTTAGTGAATACCACCTTGGGACACTATGTTCAATTGTGGTATAGGTTGCCCTGAAGGCCTATGGTTGGTTTCATGAAATTATCTTCCAAGCCAGACTGACAGTTTTTGAGATGACTGGATTTTTCTTCAAGGAAAAGCAAGCTTACCTGTTCTCCAGGCTCATGCATACTTCCTGTGGTCTTTTCTGATGCTAGGTAAATTTGTTCCAAGTTTCCCATGCTCTACTAAGAGTACAGGATCAACAAGAGCTGGGAATCCATATCATCCTTGTAAAGTGGAGTACCAATTCTCCTAGTGCAATTAGAGAGGAAAGCCCCAGTGGCAATACTCTTGCAGGCTTTATGGAAAGGTAAGTGCGGAGGAAGCCTAACACTAAATGAGAAATCCATACCTTTCCTACATGCCTGCCTGAACCAAATAAACCTTGTGTTACTACGCAAGGGCTTGTCTTTTTAATATATTTTAAAATTGAAGTCAACATGGACATAGGGTGGGTGGCTCAAATTGAATGGTCATTGTGCAGAAGGCTAGATATCTCACTGTTAGTTACACAATAAAAGAGGATCAGATAAACACAGACATAACCTCTGCCTCCACTGATAATGTAAATCATCCCTTGTATCATTTGTCTTTCCTTCAGGCTGGATACAAAAGGCATAGAAATGAACAATTCATGCCTAAACACAGAAGAGCTTGAAAGCTAGTGTATGTCAGATGTTTATTCTAGGTCATCATTAAGGGGTTGAGTGGATTTGCTTATAAACACAGGCTATTCTGTCAGAGGGGAGTGGGAGAGATAGAGTGTGTTTTGCAGTTGGAGACAGCTCTTTTAAAGCCACATTGCAACTTTTTTGCCATGCACAGTAAGTTATATAGATAATTCTTTTTATAGGTTATGAAATGTCCCCTGAGCAGTGGAAAGTATAATATGCTATAGAAACAATGCTTTTTCTCTCCACTTTGTGCAAATGCCGTTTTTCATTACCCACTGAGTGAGAGCTTGCTAGAGATTGAAATGAGAGCAGGATTGCCCCTCCCACTAATGGTCAGGCACTTCCTGACACAAACTCAGCAACGACCTCCGTGGGAGCCCGAGGAGGTCTCCCCAAGCAGCTTCCCCCACAGTGAAGTCTGAAGCGCCAAGCCCTTGAAGGATGTCACATCTTTTTATGTTACCCATTTCCACCAGCCTCATTCTCTGCCTAGGGTTTTGTGGGTTGTTGTTGTTTTTCCCACCCAGTCCAACCAAAGCAGCTGAAGAAAAAGTGCCAAGACAAACAGAATGAGAGCCTTGGGGACCCCGTAATGGGTACAGAGCGTGAGTGTGGTAATCATTCTTTTGATTTGTGCTCAGATATGTTTTCTATTTGCTTTTGCACAGAATGCACATTTTCCCCCTGGATCACAAATAATCTGAACCAGGGTAAAACCATTACAAAGTGGCCTTCAAACATCATGTCTGTATTGGAACTGAATGACTGATCAGACATTTAAATACGGAAACTGGGAATTCAGGTAAATGGCACTGATACGGTTTTGTTTTTTTGTTTTTTGCTTTTTGTGTTTTAAAAAAAAGCATGCTCCAAGTTGTTTAAATAATGTTTGTTTGCTTGGGTTCTGTCTCTTTTTTCTTTCCTTTCTGTCCCTTCATCTATCTTTTTTAAAAAAGAATTCTGCATTTTTCCCTTTTAATTATGTTCTCATTTCAATGATTTGGTTTTATCCACAAAGCCAAAAATAAAGAAATGATTTTTATATCATTCCTAACAATTAAGACAGGGAGAAAAGATAGAATTCTCAACACCTCCCATGTCTGGTCATCTCTGCTCTTTTTCTGGGGCCATACTTCCTGGGACAATCTTCATTTTCTTACATTGTCATTGGTGTCTCCTGACCAGCCTCTTTCGAAGTTGATCGCAAGTAAAGAAAAAGTACACATAGAATGACTGCTTCAGCTGACTGTCCTCCATTCTCACCCAGGAGAGGAGGGAAGAGGAAAAGCCCGGTTGGGAAATAAAGATGAATGTGCTCCCACGGTGCTGGGCAGGGCTGTTTTGTGCTGGAGCAGGCAGGCAAAGGAATCCCACCACGGGGCTCTGAGTCCCAGGTTAATGTCAAGTGCTGGGTTTTCTTTTAGTTACTCAAGGATCAAAGGGAAATTATTCAATAAAAAGAACTTAAAGGGGACTTCTGTGCCCACATAAACCTTAATCAAAAACACTTGTTCAAATGTAGCTTCCTTGACCTGCCTTTTCATATTATCTTTTCAACTCTTATACATACACATTTGTAATTAAAATAAAGATTTTCTCCATCACCATTCAGCATTTCCTTTTCCTCTCAGCTGACCAGAATTTCACCAGGGTGACATGACAGTTTGTTGCTAAGGAACTGAAGACTATGTCATAAGTGAGCATTCTGATGAAGAGGAGTGAACAGTTGGCAACAGATTGGATATTAAGAATAAATCAGCTCTCTGTGTATGTCCCTGTGTGGTGGTATAACTGACAACAGGTGAGAAAGAGAAGGCTCAGGGCATTCCTGCTTGAAATGTGAATTCTTAGCCACCTCCTCTGTAAAAGCTACTACTCATCCCCTCAATTGCCTCTTACTTGTAAGAATGTCCTCATGCATTCGAGCTTTTCACTTCAGCTTGTTTTGCTTCTCTCTGCTTAGATCCATATTCCTTCACGCAGTCATGTCAGAGATTTATCGCACTATGACCTCAGTCATATCCTCCTTTAAAAGGAGTCAAGCACAAACTTCACAAAGCCTCTAATATTCTAGGTATTCAGCAGGGAGACTGGAACATGAAATTCCTCCCACTTGGAGCACACCCACATCAATGTTTCTCTAAAATCTATTTATCTTAGTCACGACCTATGAACACGAATAGAATGTGGTGAATGTTCCTTGTCTCTCGTGTGCCTGAGCACTGGGAAAAGTTAGAATTTGTACAGTTGTAATTTCTAAGGAGGAGTGCAATAACTTCACAGTTTTTTAAACAGAATCATTTAAGAAGGAGAGCATTTTAAACGTGTCCCTTCTCTTTTGCACCATTTAAAAAGATCTCTGCATCTCAATGTGGTTCTTCTGCTATCAGATATGTGGCTGATTTTGTGATTGTTAGGTTAAGAAAAATGGGAAAATCTGACAGCAGATGATTCCACAAATGAATGATACACATACAATAATAGGTAAGTACTCACCATGAGTAAAACAAACAAATATATACAGAAAAGGAAACAGTGATCCTTTGAGAACTGAAGATAAGAGCTTCATTACCTACACAGAAAACTACAGGAAGATCTGATCTAAATTTGATTGAAGGGAAGTAAACTTCAGTGGTCAAATCCTTGGGTGGTGGGCCAACATTTTGCTTGAACTCTGTCTCTACTGCAGTGCGGGGCAATTTGGAGTAATGCATGTTTGTTCTGCCTAATTGAGAAGGTTGGAAGCTAATGAGTTTTCTGAACACTGCAAAGAAGAATGTTACATATGAAAGAGAAGCCAAGGGGTATATGGAAATGAAAATGAAAATGAAAAAAAAAAAAAGTCCTGAGAACATGGGAAAGTTCATTGTGGTGGGCTGGGAGAAGTCCAAACAAAACAGGTTTCAGAAAGAGGTGAAGCGGTTAAAAGACACTCACCCTAGCTAGAACAAAACTATAAATGTAGAGTTTGACCCTGACCTCCCGTAAATGATGCAGGCATGTGTTGACAAGCAAACAGACCTACAGCATGTCATTTGATTCTGCCCATTGTTTATCCCATTACATGGGAATTTCTTTCTGTTCTCCTTGGGGTTTTTTCCCACCCACCCCAAATGTTTAAAGTCTATATGTAATCTGAGAATAAAAAGTAAAAGCTACCTCAATTTACCTAATTTAATCTAAATACCTAATTGAAAATGTGTAATTGGACAGACAAGCCTTTGATTAGTGCCAATATAAATTTGGATTAAAGAGATTAGGGCTATTTAGCCTCAAGACAAGAGTATTTAGGAGTCTTAACACAGATTGAATTGTTTGTATTCAGGGCTCTGCCAAAATGTAGAGGGATTAAAAAAAAAAAGAGTAGGAAATAGGCTCTGCCCTTGGGGATTTGGGACACAACAGTCTAAAACATATCAAAGAGGCACACAAGATTGCCCAAGCTAAGGGTTCCAAGAGTAGCTTTGGCCAAACACACTGCAGAAGAGAGGAGAAATCAGAAAAGCCTATCAGAAAGGGATATTCTTGTCCTGATCATCAAAAGATTTAGAGATGATAAGAAGGAAGAGGGTGTCCTTGGGCTACAGAATGCTATATGGAAATGGAATGAAACTGAAATACCTCTGAGATGACTAGGAATATTCTGGTTCTTTGTTGGTGTGTGACAAACTACCTCAAAACTAAGTGGATTAGATAAAAATTATATCTTGCTCACAATTTTTGTGTTGCAGTCATTCAGGAAAGGCTCAGCTGGATGACTTATCTCTGCTCTACATGGCACTAGGGTCCATTTCTAACACTGCTTCTTCACTCATAAGTTTGGTGCTTGGAGTCTGTGGTCTCTCTCTCTCTCTCTCTCTTGCCCCACCCCCTCCCCACCTTCCTCACTCCCTATTATCTGCCCCATGTCTAGGGCTTCTCACAGTATGGCAACCTCAGGGTAGCACGATTTCTTACAAGGCAGCTTAGGGTTCCAAGAGATTGTTTCCAGAGACACAGGCAAAAGCGGCAAGGTTTCCTATGACTTAGCCTTAGAAGACCCAAACATCATGTCTACCACATTCTGATGTTTAAGCAGGTCTTGAAGTCCAGCCTATATTCAAGGGAATGGGAATTAGACTCCATCTCTCAATGGGAAAAATAGCCACAAAAAAAAAAGTTTTGCCATCTTTCATCTACCACAGGGAACAATTAATAAGGCAGATGGTTTAAGTGAGTGGTCAGAGCCACAGCAGGACAATCATCAGAGCGAGAGGTGGAGGATGAGTGTCAAGGACTTTAAAGGTGAAGTTGAGAGATTTGAACACTTAAAGAATAATATGTTCTTCTCCCAGCATAGTCTGTCTTGTGAAATTGCACTCAGCTGGATGGAAGAGAACACATGATCTCCTAGAGTTCCCAGGCACTGAACTAGGGCAATGAAGGAGACTAAAATTCTCCATCTGAATCTCTCTAACAGGAGACTTTCTAGACAAAGCGTATTTGGTTATGAAGAACAGAAATTCATTCAAGCCAGTTTAAGAAAAGCAAGGACTAATTCAAAAGCACTGTAGGCAAGCATAAGAGCATTCCAGGACAAGAGCTAGGGGAGCTGGGCCACAGGAATTCTGACAAGTCTGATACTGCAAACCCCAGAGCCAGGGTTACTCTTCTGTTCCTGATATGGGCCTGAGATCTCTCATCTCTTTGCCAGCTTTGATCTCTTTCTTGTCTTCATGGACAAGCTTTCTCCACTGACTGACTCATCAGAGTACACATGGCTGAAAATGACTGACCCAGGCCTGGGTGACCTTTGATTCCCCTAGGACCAATATGCCTTTGCTTCCAAGCACCCAATAGTATCTGATTACAGGTTGTGTATCTCTGGACTTGAATTCTGGAGATGAGGCATTTAGTTGGATTAGACCAGTCTATGGATTGGTTCCCCTTGAGAGAAACATTCACTTTTGGTTCAATCAGCGATGGCTGTAGAACAGGCTTAGGTGTTTAAAGACAAGTAACATGAAAGCATCATTGCCTAGCTCCCCTCTCCATATCAGTGAGACGCCATAGGTAGGAAGCAATTCGAGAGAAAATGTGTAGGATCGCTAAATGACAAGAAAGAATGACCAGGTGGGAAACATGCCTGGGGCTGGAGCTGGGAAAAAGGACATAACAGGCTGGTCTCCAAGCCATTCTTCATTCAAATTCCAAACCTCTTCCCTGATAGAGTCAGACTCATTCCCTATTGAACTTGTCCTGGCAGTCTTGATGTATGAAGCAGTAAAGTAATGGACAGTAATGGATGGTATCAAAGAAGGTGCCTTCTTATCTGACTCTCACAGAGGATTTTACAACGGTGTTGGGGGCTATTGGCCCTCTCTTTCTGCGTTATTCTCCAGCATACATATCTATGCTCAGGTCATAAGGGAAAGACTGATAGCATAAGTGCTTTAATAATTTTAATGAAAATTATTAGGTTTTACTTAACATAATTTACATATAGATCACCTGCCTGCACAGAGCTCCCATGTAGAGATGGCAGGGATCCCTGCATCAGGGATAACCCCAGGAAGGGTAGGAGGGAGAGTGAGGGAGGGAGGG